TCATTACCCTGGCAACTCATGCAAACTCACTTATACTGTAATATTCCTCTTTTTGTGTTCTAAATACTGTAATTTATTTTCCTCTGCACTGGATACTTTCATAACTTCTTCAGGGTGGGTGAAATTCCTCTAACTGCAGAGTGTCAGCATAAAGCTTATACACCACTTACGTGCCACTTGAGCCCTTAAAAATAGGTCATTAACCGACTTTTGCAGAAGGAACAGCATCATGCTCTAGGACCACTAGTTTTTTTTCACCATATTATACTCATTGATGTGTAACCCACTATCAACGCAATTCTCCCTCTCCCTTCAGTGAGAACATTGGATATTCTCACAGGAGGGTTGGACGGGACAAATCTAGGGTCCTCACCTAGTAACTTGGGAAGAATCCTACTCCCAGGGCTGCCCACTCTATGAAGTTGAAGGACTTGAGGATCTTCTGGCTCGGACTTCTCCGAAAGCATGCCCTAAAACTATACTAATGAGATCGCAAGTCCCTCATTAGGATATTTTCTGCCAGAAGAACTCACAGTGAAGACAAAGCCTGAGGGAGCTACTGCAGAAGAAGGATCTATTGTGTATTGCTTGCACACAAGGCAGATAGCCCCATAAATCCTACCTACACCCTTCTACAGCCAGAGGATCTTTTGTACCCGTGGAGGTAAGTACTGGGATTTGCCTCTTCATGATTATCTTTAAAAAATGGTTTTAGACTGAGCGTTCGCAAAAAGAAAAAGAAAACACAGGTAGCTGTGTTGACAGTGTCTTTACTAGGAGACTGTCATGCTCATATAACCTGACATCTCCAAGGACAAAGGTACTATATTGCGCAACAATGGCACTGAGCCTTAAACAATGCTGCCTCTTTCTCCCGCCTCCCCCACTATTGATGCAGGTGCCAGATTGAACAGAAAAACTTCAAATATAGGCAGAATGTGTTTGCTATAGCTGAATTCCTCTAGCTTTCTTTCTTTCTTTCCCTTCTGACCATAGAATGCTATTAATATCGTCAAAGAACTCAAAAGCAATCAGCAGAACATAAAATCTTAAGTTCCGCTGTATTCATCAGTTCAGCAGCTCCTTTGGCATTATATAGAGACAGGGACATCCAAAGTGAAAAAGTAAATATATTTAGTAAAACTGTAAAGTTATAATATTTTTAATAAATGAAATATTTAAAAATACACCTTCCGTAAGAAAACAGGATTTACTGAAATTTCTCCTATTTGTTTGTGTTGAGGCCTAGTGATGTTATTTCTGGTACTATATGTTATGTATCATATATTAAAACTAATACATGAGTTTTGTCGAACAATTTGAATGACAAACTAAAAGAACAATTTGAAGCCCAAAATGGGATGAGGCATGAGATCATTTTACTGTGTTCACTTAAAAAAAAGTTATAAGATTAGAATGTTTCTCTTCAACATGTCTGTTTACATCATTAGTTTCCAATCTTTTTAAGCACGAGATCACTTTTTGAATTTAAGTGCAATTCAAGATCTACCTCAAACCCAAACACCCTTGCCCCATCTCCTTTGTGCCCCTTCTCTGAGGCCCTGCCCCCTCCTTATTCCATTCTCCCTCCCTCCCCCATCCTCACTTTCACCAGGCTGGGGCAGAGGGTTGGGGTGCAGGCTCTGGTCTTGGATTAAGGGATTTGGAGTGCGAGAGGGGCTCTGAGCAGAGCTTAGGGCAGGCTGTTTGGGTGCCCAAGGGGGTTCTAGGTGTAGGTTCTGGGAGGGCATTTGGATGCAGGGGTGCAGGGCTGGGGCTTGGGGTGCAGGAGGGGTTCTTGACTGGGGTAGGAGTTTGAGAAGTGAGCTCCAGCTGGGCACTACTTACCTCAGGTGGCTCCTAAGTGGGGGTGCAGTGGGGCTAAGGCAGGCTCACCCCTGCCTTCGCCCTGCACCACTTCCAAAAGAAGCCAGCAAACACCCTCCATCCCAAGTCCTCTGCTCTGTGGAGACAGGATACAAGGAGGGGGAGGGGGCACCTTGGTATGAGCACTCCTTACCCTCCCCTGCCATGCACAGAAAGCCGGAGGCTTCTGAGGGGACAGCTCCAAGGCAAAGGCCAGGAGATGCACAGCAAGCTGGGGGGAAGGGAGGGGCAGGTGAAGTGCCAACACCTGTTGGCCAAACCCATTAGGATCACGTCTCAGAGGCTCCAACATCTACCAGTAGATCCCGATTTACTAGTTGGTGACCACTGGTTTACATGGATGCTCCAAACATTGTCCTATAAGTCCTGATAACCAGACAGAGAGACAGTACCCTGGAGTTTTCCATATTGTCTGATGCTCTATGCACATTTTCAGAAATCTTATTCACAATTTAATTACATTATTTTCACATGCCACCTCAATGAACATGTTGATTTTTGTGAAAAGTTCACTACACATAGCACTTAAATGGATTCAATTCTACAGTATTTTAGATGGTTCACTCTGAAGTTTTAAGTGTAGTCACAAATCAAGATTTCTATGGAAAAAAATGAGTGCACTGTTGCAGAGAGGCAACAGACTGAAAGCTCTGGCCCTGTGTTTGAGCTGGGAAATGAGAAGTCATTGGAAGCAGGCCATGAAAAGGTACAAATAACCCCTTTGTTCTTTCTTTCATCTGTGAGGGCCAATTGCTGGATATAGCAATAACTTGTTCATTTATTCCACTTTGCAGCATCCACGATGAATGGGTATTATAAGTAGATGCAGCGCCACTGAAATCAGTAAAATTGCAACTGCTCACACCACAGCTAAGGTTAGCCTAAAAATCTGGATCAGCTGGGCCCAGAGAAGAGAAACATCCTTCTACTAGGTTGCCATTTTGACAGCAATCTTTCATCCTCAAGAAGAAAACTTTCCCCCCTCCTGTTTATCCTTTTATATTTACAAACCAAGGCTGAGAAGCTCAATGATTGCCTAAGAGGAGAAATAAAAATCAAAGCAACCTGGATTGGGCTACAAATGTAGTCAGGCTCATCCTTTGTGTTTGAATATATCAAAATTGAGGGAAGCAAAGAAATGTTCTTATTAAAAAAATCATGGCCTCCTAGCATTACTTAACACAACTGCCCTTTCTGAATATCCAGGGTCAATGCTCACCATAATTACTGAAGATGATGATGACATGTCGGCTCAATACAATTTATAGCCCATGATGATGAAGAACAACTCAAAATATTCCATCTTGCAAGCTTGTTGGTTCTCTCATAAACATTATCCCAAGCGACAGAAATGTAGATCTATATTTTCCTTCCTAGATGTTTATTACCATTCTCCTGCTAAGCATTTCATTAATAAACTACAGAATGTTCAATATTGATTATCACCTTGCAAAAATAAAAGATGCATCTTGTTCCTGGCTCATTAGACAATAGGGCGTACGCAAGATGTTGGCACAAAAACTACAAAAGTCTTGTTCTCTGGAGTGGGTTTCAGTGCATTGCCAATCAGCTGTAAGTCTCTTTGCTGTCAAACTGTTAAACGAGTATTGCACAGTAATGATATGTCCCTTTTTTTTTTGGTTGGTTCTATACACCATCTTGTGGCTAGCAGTATCTTAAACACCTTCCGATTCTCCCTTTCTATTACGTAGGAGTTTTTTCCTGTGAAAAAGGGGTAGATCTGCGTACACAGATAAATACACAACCTGTCTACACAGCTCGCATAATGTATCTTCCAGATTGGCAAACCAAACACCTTACAAACCTGTGAAAGGAAGGAACATTATTACAGATGTTCATACCCTGTAATACATGTGAGGATTTCTTGTCTTCTCTACCTGTCACACATGTATATGATTCATCATCAAAGGAACATTTCCAAATATCTGGGATAGAATAGGTATTTTAGGTTTTATATAGGGAAAATAGTCATGAGTAGCCTCGTTTCCATAGCTCCTACCCTTTGGATCCATAGCTCCTACCTTTTGTGTTACTGGATATCACAACTGACCTCATTCTTCTAGAATTTCTCAGCAATGTCCAAAGGAACCTAATCAGATAGAATTACAGATTGCATTATCATCATGGACAGAGAAATCTGTAGCACACTTTCCTGTCTCCCTGAGCCATCACATTAATGCATCTTTAGCAAAGCAAAGTTTATTTCAGTAAAGATCAGTTAAACAAAATAGGAAGTTACATTTTTCCTACCTCAAAGAGTTAATCTAGGGCCAAGATTTTACTTCCAAAGGAGACTAATAGAGTTAGATGCACATGTCCTAATACATTTAAATGGGAGAGAGACAGCATCTACGTCCTTCAGTTCTTTCAGAAGTACCAGCCTAATTTTATAATAGATTTTATAATAGCCTGTCATCTGAGGAAGTAGGTTGTGCCCACAAAAGCTCATGATACGATCTACAATGTTTTGTTAGTCTTTAAGGTGCTACTAGCTATTTGTTGTTTTTTAAGTTTTTCCTGTTACAGACTATCTTGGCTACTCCTCTGAAGCTTTAGAATAGAAATCTGCCTCAAATGCTCACAACCTTATCTTACAACTGCTGGTTGCAGGGTTTCTTCCACCAAAGCAGCTGCTACTGGGCACTAAGTTAATTGGACTAAATGGACTATTTACCTGACCTGAAATAGAAATTCCTAAGTAGCTACTCTGCTGAATATACTTCTCCCCTCTTTGCCCATGTGACTGGACAAGACTTCAGTGGCCTCTAGCATTGGTTCTAACCCCACATTCTCCCACTGCACTAACAGAAAGCAAGCCCTGGAAAAAGCTATGTTGCTTAGAGCTCAGGATTCCCACAGTGAAGCTCCTTGTTCCAGGGCAATGACCACAGGAGTCTGCTGCTTGTTTGACCTTCCTTGTTTGTAGCCAGCGAGACAGGTTTTATCCTTAAGATATACCAAGCCTCTTCATGACTCTGAATAGATTAAACACGTATCAGTACATTGTGACTCAAACCAGGCTGGGCTTGACAGTGGGAATAAACATTCTTACATGACAATTCTCACAAGTTTACTGTGTTCAATTTTAACAGAAAAGATGGCCCCCCAAGCAGGATCCTTGCCACCCGTCACATCACTGAAGGAGAATGAAGAGAAGCTGACCAGGCAAATGATGGCCAAGAGAGTAAAAATCATTGCAGAACTGGTACAGACAGAGAAGGACTACCTCCATGACCTGGAGCTATGCATCAGGGAAATAGTCCAGCCCTTAAGAAACAAGCAGGTAAGAAAGTGTTGGGTGTTTTTTGTTTTTGCAGGAAGCAGGGTAGATTTGACAGAAATCTGAATTCACCCCTGTTCTGTCTGCACTCAACAGGAACTGCATGGTGCCAGCTGCAATTCTAGGCCTGACCATTTTGGAGGGAGTTCTAAGGAGCTTGCTTGCAGGCAGGAGTACTTTAAATGCTCAAGGTTTTTAGAATGAAATTCACTTCAGCTACATAAAGATGGAATAAATGGGGCAGAAACAAGACCGCAGCCTAAATCTCCTCATCATGAATCCTATGGCCATAACTTCAGGCTATGAATTAGAATAGCAGACTTCACTCCTCGGTGCTGCTTGGGCAGCATGCTGTGTAATCACAGATTACCTATCCCCTCTTCTTGCTTTCTCCCATCACCTCCATGGAAGCTCCACTATGCTGACCTCCCCAGTAAGGAGCTTGAGTGTTATGGTCCTTCATGCCATAACATTCAAGGCCGCTTAAGCCCCCTTTATTCAAACAAACTCACCATGGTTGCTTGAACAGCTGTTATGAGGAAATGCTAGGCAAGGCAACCCCGTCAGTCCTGATGTATTTGCATTTTAGATAGTGAAGCTAAATGTAAGCAGGATGGATCAGTTTTCGTCTTTCCTGCAGGTCTTACTGCTCTGCTTATATTCATTCTGCTCTTCCACAGAGATTTCAAACCTGTTTGGCTGCTATTCAGCCGTTTTCCCCACAAAAAAACCTTTGCAATTCTGTGCAAACTGTGTGCTGGAATTGCCAGTATTCTCTGCTGGATGTGCAACAGCTTGTGGCAGACAGATTAAAGTTTTCCTCCTACCTCACAGCCCTCTGTGAAGGCCAAGCAGCTGATATTCGCTACAAGCACAACTCAGAATACACACTGGGTCTTTACCCAATTACCTAAATTGTGTATATATGATTTCATATGAAACAGTTTGACTGCTTTCTCCTCTCTAGCTCCTGGCATTTGGAACAACCTTATGTATCCATTTGCTGCTCTCCGTCATATTGAAAACATTTTCTCCTCTGTCAGCTATTTTATCAGTTAGGTACACCTACCAATTTGGGTCTTTGTCATGTGCTCATGTATTTCTGAATACCACATACATGTTGAATTAGGTAAGGTAGAGATTCACTGATAAAAAGACAAAAGCTTATAAAAATAAGATCACAACCCTACATTTCTAATTTAACATAATCTGCATTTTTAAAAGAAGGCTTCTAAAACAGTCATAGGCTTTTAAGATTATTTTTGAGGTGAATAATCACATTTGAAAGCTTTTATTTATTTGAAGACTTACTGCTTCAACAGGAAAACATTAGTGTCTAGAAGATCAAGCTAGAGATGAATCCTTTACATATCCTAATGGAGTAAAATTATTGTTAATCTCTATAATCAGAAATTAACTACTCAAGCAATTAAAACATGATGTTGATTTATTGCAACATGCAATTCGATTCTCCTGGACTGTTTCTGTAAGCTGCTGTGTAAACACACAGTTCTATTACTAATGAATAGGCATGATCAGAAGTACCGGCATATCTGCCAAAATAAACACTGCCTTTAGTTTTTCACCTTTTTTCTGACAGGGTAACTCTAATTGTTCCATAAATTTAATGATGTCCCTCTATCCATGAAAGGAAGTTGCCAATGTGAAAATTATATTTTCTATTTTGTTTGCCTTTTTCAAAATAAGCAGGGAGATCATTTTCCCTGTCTATTAAGATCTCCTGTTAGCATATGCTGGTTCAGCTTCATTGAAGCCAGTTTGTATCAGCAGAGGATTGGGTGCACAGATTATATTAATGACTAACAGTAAATCTACATATGAAGGGTTGTTTTAGCTGTGTTGGTCCTAGGATATTAGAGACAAGGTGGGCGAGATAATCTTTTATTGAACCAACTTCCGTTGGTGAGAATGATAAGCTTTCAGGTTAGAAAGACATTGGTCCAGTAAAAGATACTACTTCACCCACAATGCCTCTCTAATAACCATAAATCTCTTTCTTTTAGGCAAAATACATTGCCTTGATTTTACTCCTATCACCACAGATACATTGGCTTTTCTATTTGCCTGAAATATGGTACCTCATGTAAATAAACAACCAAGGCTCAAGTTTATGCAGTCTCTATGGGCAACATGATAAAAGGATCAGATTCTCTCTCATAATTGTCATTTTCAGTTTTACTGTCTTTTTTCTCTGAGATGAGGTAAATAAATATTTTAGCTAGCTAAAGCTTTTCCTTTAGCTATCTAATAATATTTACTTCTCTTCAAGATACACATATTCCCTTTAGGAATTGTTCAAAATAAGTTTAAATACTCTTGATAAAGTGCCCCTTGTTAACTGCATTAGCCCAGTTGTATTAATTAAAACACTGCACATGTGTCCTTGACATTACAGCAAGGGTGTTTACATAGGCTTTTGCAAAAGTGGCATGCCCTGTTTCAAACACTTGAGGCTATGCAGGAAAAAGCCTGCACTATTCAGTGTTGCTCCTTATGCTTCTATCCTTTGTTGCTCAATATTTGTGTTCCATCAGATTGTTAGGTTTGACGTGGACGGCTTGTTTAGCAACATTGAATCAGTCCATCAGATATCAGCCAAACTGTTGTCATTGTTGGAAGAAGCCACAGCAGACGTGGAACCACCTATGCAAGTAATTGGTATGTTGATTGTCTTTTTGAGTCCTACAAAATGGCATGAAGGGATAATATAAGAATAGTTGTCCATCCCAGACCCCCACCGGCCTTCAGTCTAAGCTAGGACCACTTCCATTGGGAGCAGGTCTTTACTAAATCCCCATTATACATACAAATAAAAATAAATGTACAGTCTATCTATTGATGTATTGCATTCACATTGAAGGCTGGATCTTGTAGCCCTTACTCAATCTTTATGCAATTTTAATGGGAGAGTAAGAATGGCAAAAGGGAATCCTGACTGTAATGTCACTGGTACTAATTGCCCCTCCCCCTTAGTTTGATATTCCCTACAATTGGGCAAACTTTCATGTTTTACACGATCAATAGTACTGTTATAATAAGGAATTAGAGCATTGGCAAAGTAAGAATACCCTGAACAAAGTGAAAACATGGTTGTAATGATGTTTTCTTGCAATATATTATTCAGCCAAGTATTATTCAGATGTGTGCATGTTGTATAGAGTTCCAAACAGGGTGTGTGGCTCATGGTCAACAAACAGCAGAATACAATCTGTGTGTTAATGCCTGTAGTTGTTTAAATAAGCGATGCTGATTACTTGCATCATGGCAATCCCACAGTCATGAGTTCCTGTGTGATTTCAAGATGTGATAAATTCAGTCTTTAGGTTATTAGACACTATAAGCCAGTTATGGCAATTCAAGCCTCTGGAACCCTGGAGTATGGGAAGCACATGTCATGCTCCCATAATGGGAGAGGGAGGTGTTTTGCTTCCATAAGGCACAAAATCTCCAAGGGCACTAGGGTAAGTATGCTCAGCTATGGCACCTGCTACACTTTTAGAGCCAGCACTTATATTAATGAAAACTTGCTAGTGATTATTGGTGCATAGGAAGGACAATTCTACACAAAGGTGCTGCACTAAAGAGCTTCAACTTCCCTATTAGCAGGGGCGGTTGGGAACGGGGCGGCCGCCCCGGGCCCCGCGCTTCAAAAAGCCCCGTGCATGTGCCGTGGCGCCACCGCGCATGCGCATGGCGTCACTGTGCATGCGCCGTGGCAAAGGGGGGCCCCGCAAAATTATGCTGCCCGGGGCCCCGCAAAACGGTCATCTGCCCCTGCCTATCAGACTCTCACTGCTTTCATTCTTAAGCACAAATGACCAAATTATAGCTGTCTCTTGCAAAGGTACACTGGGAGGGAGAGAGGAGTTCCTTGTGCTGTTTTATTGGATACCAAATCTAATTTTAGATGATAAAAATGCCATAAACATTTATATACTTGAAGAGATTTCACTTTTAAACCCCATTTATTTTCTATATCTCTTCCTTGCCGATATGTCATGGGTCTCACTCAGCATTGGGCCCCTGTTTATGGCAACATCTAAGAATGAGTGCCATTCAGGTTTGATACTCACATTCCTCCTCCGTCTGCAGGACTCAGTCCTTCAGCTGAGCCAAGTCACTGAACAGATCTCCCTTTCCAGAGTATCCAGAACTACTAGATCAGCTGTCCAAACGCTGTTCCAGACAGTCTTCCGCTAAAAGGATGAGTCTTATGCCACTTCTGTAGAGGCTGGTTGCCACCTTTTATATAGCAACTCATGTTTGCTTGCTCCAAAAGCCTGTTGCTATTTTCCTAGACACTTTCCTATTTCCTCCTTTGATTACTTGCCAAACTCTATAGCCTCAAACACATCTTCCCTTCTCCCAGGGAGTGACTGAGTAGACTACTTCCTCTGCGGAACTCTTCTTCTCAGCCCGGTGGCTTTATACAAGCTCAGCCTGCCCCTGCCCAGCTGGGTTTCAAAAACACTTAGTGCTTGTTTTTCAAGCCTAAATCTCCTTCCAGGTGCAGTCTACCTGCCTATCAAAAAATAGGAGTTAGCTAGCTGAAAAGAAAACCTTGATTAATCTTAGAACACAGAGAAAGAAGTAACATTGAGTATTCACTAGTTTCAGTTTCCAATATCTGATAGTGCTTTCCAAGCATGGAGGAAGATTCTTTGCCATCAGGAGCACACCTTCAAGCGGTACTGTAGTGTGACAAGTGAGAGCTATAAAAGGAACTGACGTTGTTTTATTCACTTGTACGGAAGTTAGGACAATGATGGGGGCTTCTAGACACTATAACATATATATAATGAATAATAATAGAGAGGAAAAGGATTACAAAAATAGGCCCACTCTTTCACGGTTGGATCATTGCGCCAGTTAACTTCAGTGGACTTCAATTAGATTTTAGGGTTCCCATCATTGCCAGAGACTGATGAATACTGATATGATTATAATCCAAGAGTCAAGAGAATGAAATCTGAGCAACAGAGATGGGAAAGAATTCTTAGCCAGTCTTTTTAACCATCTTTGTATTTTGTCAACAGCTACTTAACTTCAATGACTAATAAGCGCTTTGGGGAAAATATGTTGTTGTTAAATTTGCAACACCATTGTCCCTTCTGTCACAGTATACATACAGTATGTAGGTTCTGAGATAGCCAGAAAGTTCTCAAAAAAACAAACAAACCCCCCAAAAACCACCAAAGATCAAACTTGCCATTTCTTTGGTTTTGAATTAAGACAAGGATCCATCTTCTCCTGTCTTCAGTCTCAGGACTTCCCCAGTAGGAAGTGATAGCCTTTTTTTTTTGTTTGTTTCCTGCTGGGCCTAGCTCTTCTAGCTGCTGGAATGCCAATTTGCATTGGTTATGCTAACAGCTAATTTTGCATGATCTCTCTAGGCAGCTCCTGGAGGTCTAAACTGACTGCTGTTTTCTCCCAAAGGGTACCTCATTTGGGTACAGTATATCAAGTTGGGAGAGCCTCCAGCAGAGAGGCATCAAATGCCTGGTATGCCCCTTCACACCAAGTGTAATTCAGAAACATCTGCAGACTCAAATTAATAAAAGCTATGAACGTAGCTTAGCACATGTGCTCACCTCCCATGCACATTACTCAATCAACTCAATATGCACAATGAATAGTCAAAGGAAAGTTTGGGCTTTTTTGTGTTCGATTTTTCCAAATTAGTCATAAGCCTGAAGCAACATGCCATAGAGAGACCGTGTGTGCTTGCAAGAGAATTGAGAAAACCTGTGATTTGCCACAGATTTTAACATGAATGGTGCTTGGCCAAAGTACTGATCTTCGTAAGTCTGTATCCTGTTTGCCAAGGCAAACAGCTAAATGTGATTTGATAAGACTGTGCGGCTTGATGGTATTTCAATAATTCTGTGTCATGGTGATTCTTATATACCTAATTAAAAATGTGCATTAAATCAGGCATTTATTTCCTTCACAGCAATAGGAGTCAGTGTTTTGAGTCCCTGCCATGTCTGGAAGAAAAGGGAAACAATTTCATCAGTCTATTTGGTTGTATTTAGCTATTTCCTTGGAAGCAATATGGACATAAGAATTAGTATGAAAATAAATGTTGGTCTGCTAAAGCTGGATGGCTAAACCACACTGTGTAAAAGACTAGAATGGGCAGGATGGAG